AAGCTGTTTAGATGGTCAAAAAGCCTGTGTTTTTAGGGTTATTAACAAAGTTCGTGTACACAGACCAGTAATATTTGGGATCACAAGTTTTTGCCATGGATATTTTGTGGGTCAGAAGATAAAAAGTTTGGGAACCACTGCCATACAGTACTTTTAAAAATATAGAGAACACTCTAAAGGTAAAAGACTGATCAAAAAACCTCTCTGAGGTCTCATTCTTATCAGTCTGCACAAATTTGCACTCATTTCCACTTAACATTTTTGCTGCCCTTGGGTCAAACACCGATGGGAGTCCTTTTGACCATGGGGCAGCAGGAGGGTTAATGAACCATATCAAATAGTGCTAAATGAACGATGAGCAGCAGAACCACAGAACCCACCTCTGGTTGGGTCTCCCCCMCCCTGCTGTCAGCCTGCTTGCTGGGGGTCACAGTAACCAGCGGGGCTGAGGGAGAGGAGAGAGGTCACACACAGTCCTCACATCACTACATCCGGAGCAGWGACAGAAAAACAAACCACCACCAGAACCCATGATCTACTGCGTAATGTAAACACACACCGATGAGTTCCTGGATGGTGACTCGGTCCAGCACGTTGAAGGATGTGTCCAGTTTGAGCGGCTGAGAGCACCGCTGACACACGAAGCTCACCTGCATCGTTGTGCTCGACGACTTGGAGCCCTCCATCGCGAAACTTCAAGATAACATTAAACGAAATGCCACTGCGTTACTAAATACACYTTACAGTAATCACTTTACTGTCGCATTAAACGATGTTTTTTTTAGCGCTACGATTAGCTTTGAGGCTAGCGTGTGTTTAGCAAACAGATGAAGTGCGGTGAGGAGGAGATACTCACCGTCACTTGTGGGGAAAATAACTATTACATCATAATTTCGATTAATAGACCTAAACAGGGGTTCAACCCTGACAGAATTATCGTGTCGCTAAATAGAGCACTTTCTTGTTGTTGTTTACGATGGTTGTGATTTCTTTTTCTGTTTTGTGAACCGTGTAGACTTGACGCTATAGCAACGAATGTCTGCCCCCTACTGGCTGAGAAGAGAAACACCACATTACATGCATGCTTTTGGATCGGTTTGCCTTTTTTTAAAAATCAGCCATGAGGTAAATTTTGTTGTAATTTGGTACTATAAAAATAAACAAACGGAGATAAGTAATAAGTCCAATTACATTTGTTGTATTCCAAAATGCTGCATACAAAACAATAATAATAATAATAATAATAAGAATAAGAATAAGAATAAGAATAAGAATAAGAATAATAAGAATAAAAGACATGACACTTTACATAATTATATAAAAATGTTGCGTAAATGCAGAAGAGCACAGTGATGTCTTTAATCACCTGTAATGAACTTATCATGACAGTAGAGGACAGACTTGTCCAACATCAGGTGCTGGGTTTGCTTGTAAAGCTGTGTTTTTGGGGATTACAAAGGAAATTGTTCAGTATCCATGGGATTAAACACATGATATAGCTTCGGAAGTTGCTGCTTCATTCGATTAGGTTCAAAATAAAACTCACCGATGCTATCGTTGCTGTTCGATACAGCAAGATATATAGTTATAGGTTCTTTTTTTTTTATGGATGGCCTCCCTTCTCCCCTTATAGCCATCCCACATCCCCTAGTTATAGGTTCTAACATAATTATGCTTGTACGTAAAGTCATAGATCAGTTGTATGTTTAACTACATTATAAAAAAATAAATAAAAGGAACCTATAAAACGAAAGATCACAAGTTTCAAAGTTATTTAATTTGATGCTGCTAAAGAATGAAAGCTGAAAACAGTAAAACAAAGTGATCCAGTTATTTTAACATTTCCCCACGAGTCAAAACTAAATTTAATGTCATCCCTTTAAAACACTTTAAAGATATTTACATTGCTTGCTGATGCCCTCTAGTTCATTCACTTTTTGCACACATTCAGTTATTTACTTTTGAGATAAGGCTGCCTCTCTCAGTGGGTGTATYCAGACACAAAACATATCTGATTTCAGCAGTTTGTATTCTAGCACATCCTGCTTTCTAACAGTCTGCCTGGAGTGAAAACAGAACATTTCCTTGGTTTGATCTGAGAACTCTGTGCACATCTCGTACATTTAAAACACCTTTATTCTTCAGCAGATAAAACTGTATTAAATTCTATGGAGTCTTATAAATAGGCGTGAGCTTATGCATCAGTGACTGAATGTGATTTTTTTTATTTTTATGCTTTTTGGGAACTGTGACAAAACTCCATGTGACATTCTGTAAGCACATAATATTAGGTAATGTGAAAAAAAAAAGCTAAATCATGCAAGAAATGCCTCTAATCCCTCCTTTTTTGATCACCAAGGAGGGAAATCCCACCAATTTGCATGCTCTTTTTGGGTGGAGGATAGTTGGGGGGAATGGAAGGGTTGCACATTCCTGTCTGATGGCATAAGACTTCCCATCAGTGGAGCTAATTGGAAAACAGTCCCCCATTTTCCAAAGCTGAAATAAAAGAGGAGGGATCTTGCACACGGAGCAATGTAACAACTTGCTACCTTAAAAAACCACATTTGGAATATTTGAATAAACACAATCCAGGAAAGATTAGGAGTTTAGCTAAAACCTGTTAACTGGTATGTGCACATAAGAGTCACACATGGAGGATGACAAGGGCCAGCTAGAAGACCCGTCAGGTGAATCTAAGACATTTTGTTTTGTGTACTCATTAAATGGTTTAGAATCGTTAAAGCTTGAGGCGACAGTGTATAGGTCCTGCATATGTCCTCATAAAGAAAAGTAAATGAATAGATCTACGGTGAGAGCGGTTACCATGCATTCCTATGTAGTGACACACTCACACACAGCAGCTTCTATTGAACTGCAGGTTTTTATTGTCCTCCTGTCCTCAGCTCATTTGGCTGCCCAAAGGGGAGGCAATGTTGCCTTTAGGTGRTGTGGGATATATTTCAATCAAGCTGAAAACATTGTGAAACACATATGCTGAGGGCATTATTGGTATATGATTAAAAACTTTACATATAACTGACTTGACTTTAACTCTTTTTGCATTACATATAAAAAATAAAAATAAAAATATCCATAGGCCGAATAWATATATGTCAATTTTATTCTGAGGGAGTAATTGTTATAATGAAGTAGTAAATGCATTGCTTTGTGTTTCTTATTTTTCTGTTTGTTTTACGATCTTGTTACTTTCGCATACTTTGCGCTATTTTATGCATTTATGCATCCAAGCGTTCTGCTAAGACTTTTGAATTTTGTAACTTTTACGTTTTTCAAAGTGTTTAACTTTATTCGCAAATGTCCTGATGCATCTCAATAATCCAGATAGAACAATCCAAAAAGAAAGAAAAAAGTTAATTAGATCCCCTGGACGCGTTATTTTTTGTAAACAAACAAACAAACAAACAAACAAACAAACAAACAAACAAACAAACAAACAAACAAACAAACAAACAAACAAACGTTTCATCAAGATCTCTTCAATTTATTCAAAAACATTGTCATGTTTGAAATTTGTTTTAGTTTATTTGCACTGTTTTGTCTTCTTGTGCTTAGTTTTAGCTGCTGTTTTGCTTCTTTTAGCTGGTAGCCTAATTTCATTTTTAGCTTCTTCAGCAAACTTCAGGAAAGTCAGTCAGCAGACAGCATTCACACTCTTTATTTTATTATTATTATATATATATATATATTTTCAAAATGGTTTTTTTTTATCAACGTTTTTCAAGTCACGGGTAAGTTGTGACTTTTAGGTCAAAATGTGTGTTTGCATCACAGCAGCCACAGCCACACGGATTAATGTAGCCAGTGTTGTAAATTCCGACGAGCACCTGAAGGCAGCACGGAGGAGAGCGGCTTCCCACCGCCACACGAGCTGCTGTGTCAACTGTGTCGAGACCTGAGAAACGGCGTGTTGGTTGAAGTTGTCCTCGTGCTGCGCACTTGTTGAGASTAGAAGACGAGTCGGTAAGTTTGTGGGCAACTTTTATTTAAATTTGCTGCACGAGKGGTTTGCTTTGTAAAGTTGCTGGTAGAGCTGTCCCCCAGATGTCGCATTCAGGGTTAGTCTGTCTCTCAAATGAAGACTTTCGAAATAGAAAATGTTTTTTTTAATTAATTAATTTTTTTTTGCGGGGTGCAATGGTTGATTAAAATAAAATAAAATAAAAAAACCACGTGCTGTGGTCCAAGTTCTTTGAGTTACTGTCAGAATTAGGCCAAATACTTGTGCTAATTTAGTTTGTAGCCTACTAAAACATTTTAAAAAAAGATCAAAACTGCTAAATAGTGTCGTTCCAGCGACAGGTGGTGCGTGTGTTGCACGATTAGGTTTTTAATTTGACAGCTGATGTCAGTGTTTACATTTGGAGGTTTCATTTCCTTTCCAGACCTTACTCCCAAAAACCTGCCATGTTTCTGTGATGGAAGTYATCCGCTCCAAATGGAAATAAAAGTGAAAAAGTTGCTGAGGTCAGGATGTTGAAGGGGCTCAGTCCAGTACAGACAGCTGAAATCACGAGGGGAAATACATTTTAAATAGATTTATCAACTTGGGACATAACCAGATATTAAATAAATAAATAAACAAACAAACAAACAGACGTACCTTTTAATAAAGTATTTTAAAAAATTTCCAGTTCTTTTCGGCTTTTAGTAGCCTAATACATTTATTAAGTCTACCTTGCATAATTTTGAATTTTGAAAACATTTGTGTTAAATAGGGCTGCCACAAACGATTATTTTAATAATCGATTAATCACCGATTATTTTTTTCGATTAGTCGACTTATCAGATCATACGTTAATTGAATATAAAACAGAGCTTATCACGTCAGAATGTAGCTGCTATTATATAACCATCGTTAGATTTTAGCTATATGCTAACAAAAAATAATTGCTGTGGAAGGCAAGTTCTGCTCTGCAGATATTGACAGGTTTCTCTTTCATTTTCTTAAAATGATCCCACACTTTGAGCTCTGTTGTCAGG